GAAAATCATAACCTAAACCGAAAACTGTAGTACAATTTTTTTTTTTGAATTATAAAAATTTTTTTTTTTTTTTTTTTTGCAAAAAAAAAAAAATTTATAATAAATTTAAATTTGTTCACTTTATTTTTTTTATTAACTGCTGATAATGGTACATCTATCAATATAAAAAAAGTTACATGATTTGAATTAAAAAATTGAGATTAATTATTTAATTATATTATTTGAATATGTTATGTTTTCATAATTACATAATTCTAAATATCATGTCATTTATTTTTAGAATCAAATTGGAAATTCACGAATTACTGGACGACCTCCTTCGAATGTTTGGATACACTTTGTGAAAGGAAGTGAGGTTAAAAATAGCAAAGGTCACTATTCTGCAAAGTGTCACTATTGTTCCAAATTTTTTGATGTAGGTTACCCATGGAAACTTGAAAAACATCTGGCAAAGGAATGTGGTGGTTGCAATAGAGAAATTCGTAAATACTATTTGGATGTCATTGCAAAAAAACAAACAAAAACTGTTAAAAAAAAAGAAAGTAATCAAATTTCTTCTAATAAACAAGAACAACTAAGTTTGTCTGAATTCTACGAAAGCACAACATTAACCACAGAAAGAAATGATAATATTAATAGAGCGTTAATCAGAGCATTTGTAATGTGTGGTATACCTTTTAATGTTATTCAAAATCCATACTTTATCGAGTTACTTAGACAACTTAGGCCTGCCTACACACCACCTAATAGAAAAGCAATTTCAGGAAGACTTCTTGATGCAGAAGTGACTAATATTAATACCAAAATTAACCTGCAACTTGAGAATCAAAAAAATTTAACTTTGGGTAAAGACTTTTATTATACTGGTGATTTTTATTTTAATATATTAAACTTGGTTATTAATTTAATTATTAATTAGCACTCGATGGCTGGTCAAGTTCCAACAACAAGTCAATATGGAATTTTTTGATCCTTACACCTGACTATAAACAATATGTGTATAAACTTTGTGATTTTTCATCATATTCTCATACAGGGGAGTTCCTAGCTGAACAAATTAATAATATTCTTATTGAAGTTGGTCCTGAAAAATTTGCATCAATTGTGTCTGATAATGGAGGAAATGTTCGTGTTGCTAGAGAAATAATTACAAGAAGATATCCTAATATTTTGAATTTAAGGTGTATCGCCCATTGTTTTAATTTAATATCAAAAGATATTCTTAAACATCCATTTTCAGAATCTTTACTTCGAAAATCCAATAAGATTATAAAATTCTTTAGGAAATCCCATCAACCAAATTCTATTCTTGAAAGTTATATCAAAGATTTAAAGATTAAAGGTGGAGGGTTAAAAAGTTATTCAAAAACAAGATGGTGTTCAATGTATGATTCAGCAATGTCTATTGTTAGGTTACAACCAGTCTTTCAATTGGTAAAAAATTTAATGTTAATATAATGAATATATATCATATTCTATTAAAATAATTATTAAGGATAATTATAACTTTTATAGATCCTAACTGAAAATTCAAATATAATCACAAATGTTGAAATTTTAAATATTTTGCAAAATCGTATATTCTTCAACGACATGAAAGAGTTGGCAGAGATTTTAAAGCCCATAAAAGATGCCATAGTGGTAATGGAATCAGATAAATGTACTCTAGCAGATTGTTATTATGAGCTTATAAAGCTTGCAGCTTCAATAAAGTCTATACCAATTGAATATCATCGTAATTTCCGAAATTATTGTATCAAGGAATTTAATAGTAGATGGAATGAATTCGATTTTGATGAGTATTTGGTTGCATATTTTTTACACCCAGGATATAGAGGTATTATAAAATCTTTATTACCTATAAAATATCTAGCCCATTAAAAAGTATAAAATGTTTGCATTACTTATTTTAAAAATTCATAATTTTTTATTACATTGATTAACCAACTAAAATTTTTAATTTAGGTAATGGATTAAAAAAAGGTCATTTTCGGCGTATTGCAGAAATCACAATTGAAATTTTCAAAAATCTTGGTAAATCTGAAAAAGAGTCATCATTTTTGTTGGAACAATTACGAGAGTATAAATTAAACAATTATCCATACAATGCACCTTTTAATCTTGAAAAAGGAAGTGCAATAAATTGGTGGTATACTTGTGAAAGTGAAGGTGGTTACGATTATTTACAAGAATTAGCTATAAAGATTTTTTCAATAATTCCACATTCAGCGAGTTGTGAGCGCTCGTTTTCAACTCTTGGGTGGTATTTTTGTAAGACAAGACAAAGATTGAATATTACAACACTTGAAGATATGATTAAATTGCATTCGTATTATACTTCACATACAAAATCTGAACTTCAGTTGGTTGGTCAAAGGGTCTCGGGTAATGAATTAAAAAAAATGGTTTCAGATGCAAATTTGTGGTCAGATGAAGATGATTCAGACTTTGAGTTTGGAGGGGATGATCTTGAGTTTGAAAACTATGAGGAACTTTATAATTATAATGATAGTGATTTTGATGATAGTCTTAATATTGAAACTTTTATTAACTTAGAAAATGAAATTTTAAATACTTTTAATAATATTGAGAACAATGAAACAACTTATAATGATAAATTGGACAATTGTAATTATAATTCCATTGGTTTAGTTGACAAATTTTTAGAAAAAAATAGTGAAGTTTTAGAAGTATATACTATTAATTCTGATAAGGAAACTAATTTAAATGAAATAGTTGATAGTTATGGAAATGAAGAAGACACAAGTGATGAAGATAATGAAAAAAGTGAAGAAGATGAGGAGGATGAAGAAACAAATGATATAGACAGTGGCTATAATTATGATGATAGTGATGCAGAAGAACCAGTTAATAATAAGATTAATAAGAAAAAATCATTAAAAAATAGGATAGAAAAAAAAAGTTTTGATTTTAGAAAAAAAACTAGAATTAATTATAAAATTTGATAATGATTTTTATAATGATTTGTGATAATTGAATTAGAAAAATTCAAATAAAATATGTTTTTAGTTAATGTATTTGTTGTTTGACTTTCGGTTTAAGTTTTGAATTTCGGTTTAGGTTTTGAATTTCGGTAAGTTTTTTAATTTCGGTTTAGGTTTCAAACTTGTAAGTGTTCGAAAGTACTTTCGGTACACTTTCGGTTTCGGTACCACCTAAAAGGGGGGGTTTCGGTGGACATCCCTA